CATCATTGAGGTGCTCAAGCTCCAGCGCCCCGACAAGGCGGTGATCCTTTGCTGGAGAGAACATGGCCATATAGCCCGAAAAACCTACAACAACCCAGTGATTACAGCCATGAAAGACTTTGAAAATAAATAAATAAATAAATAAATAAGAATCCTTTTACTGATTTACAGTGACAAAAATGCTACCATGCAGGTTGTTGTGCTTTTGAAGGATGTTTTGCAAGAGGATTGTGCAACTGGTGTTCTACCAGCTTAACCACTGTGCTAGAGGTTGCATTGTGGGCTGCTTAAGATATTCATCCAAAAGACACTGTTCTCTGCATTATGGAGGACATGACATAGAGTTGACAGAGGGCTGCCATTTTGGTAGTTGTCAATTGCTTCTTGTAACTTGTAATTTCAGTAACATGTGACATATAATTCCACATATCTGCAACATTACCAAATGCATGTAACATTCTACATATGTGTGACATGTGGCTACACTGCATGTAATTTTGGTATTTTAGAAAACATATTATGTGGTTTAGAGTACAATTCCATGATTCTGGAGAACTGAATTTCCAAACCTTACTCTTGTTTTTCTGATGAAAATAAATCAGATAATTATTATTAATTATTAGATTTCCCCTAATATGTGAAATAATAACAGGGAGGATGAAACAATATTTGTCAATATTAATGGCACAAAAAAAATTAAGTACAATTTCTTAAGTGCCACCGTACCTGGCTTGAATCCCTTGGGCTTTAAAGAGAAGGAGATCCAATCACCAATTGCCATCATATTGTCCATTAGTTTGTCCTCCATTAAAAACAAAACAGCAACAACAACAAAAGAAAGGAAAGCATTGGTTTAATTAAGTCTTTCAGAACTCACTCATCGCAAGCATAGTAAGACTCCATCTTCTGATACATGATCTCAAAATATGAGTAGTCCTATTCTCTGAATGGCCATAGATGACTTTCAGCCACTCTACTTAAGTTTCATCCTTCTGTTTCAGTCTCCTCATTTGCTGCCAGATGGCATCTGGAAGACAGAAGAATGACCTCTTTCAGCCACTGGGCTCAACATATGGGCAGTGTCTTCAATGTCACTTAAAGAAACAGATCCCCTGAAGTGAAAGCAACCTTAAGATATCATTCAAGATACTTGAAACTCTTATGTAATCTTTGTGTTAAAGATCTTTGGTTGAATATCCCACCTCATTTTCTTGTCACCAATGTCAAATAAAGTGCAGTAAAGCAGGAGTAGGTGGTACATAGGGCACATCAGCCAAGTCAGAAGCACTTCAATACCCAACACTTCCCAAGCAACTCCTCCCTCCCTGGCTCAAGATCCCATGAATTCCAAGAAAAAGGTTCCACAGTTTCCTGTTTTTCAAAGAGGGAACTAGCAAACCAAAAAAGTACTAGAGCAGTTGGCAAATATTATTGCAGTTCTCCACACACTCCTGAAAACACTGTAGCTAGGAGACCAAGCAAAAACATCCATTGTGCTCATAAGCTTGAGCAGGGATGTAGCTAAAGAAGGGGAAATTGGGGTATTGCTCCAGATAAGAATTTTCTCCCTCCAAATGACATTTTTTGTTCGAATTTTCTTTTTGTTCATCGTCCAGCATTCTAGGTATTCACATGTAGACTTCTATTTGTTGTATTTGCATTCCTATAATGACTTTGCCTGGCCTCTTTCTCTGGATGCCTATAAGGTGCTCTATCTCTAATTGCTCAACTGTAATTTTAACTTATTACAATACTAGAAATTTGAGGAGTAAAGGAAATTTTCATTAAGGGAAGCAGAACAACATCCTTATTTTGCTCCCCTCTCTCCTGTCTGAGCTACAATCTGAACTTGACCAACCTGTCACCAATTTTCATCCCCATTTTTATCCTCTCTGTTCTTTTTGCTTTAACAGTGTACGCCTCTTTATTTTCCATACTGGAAGAAAAGGTGATAGAAATCAAGTCTATGATTTTTTTTTAAAAAAGGGGGAGATGATTAAAGTATGTAGATGTGTTGAGAGGCCCTTTCCAGTCCAATCATTTTGATTCCTCAGTGGTTCAGACTTGGATCCCAACTAGAAAGGATTTCAGGGTTCATAAATTTCAACTTATATTGAGAAGTTGGCTTTGCAAAACTCAGGTACATCATCAACAAATTTCACAAGTGCAGAGGACTTTCCATTATTTCCACACTGGCTGTTTTGAAGCCATGATGTGGGAGTGACATAATGCATATCCATGGTCTTCTAGGGTATACTAGGCCATGTTTAGTTCATAACCATAATTTAGTATACAAGTAGAAACACTATTCATGGATAACCAGTGTAAATAAAGATAGCCATGCTGCTCTATGAGGATAAAACAAAACTAAAAAGTGATCCAGAACTGCTCCAACTGAGCAACCCTTCCCACATCGTCATGAGGATAACAGCAGTAAAAATATTGAAACACCAAACCATTAACAAGAGATGTCATCTGTCAAGGAAGGATTTAATGTAACCTCTGTTCAGGCAACTGTGTGTCAGATCGACACGACAAATCAGGAAGGTTGCTGTCTTATTCATTCACATGTCTGGGTCATCACTCACAACTTACCAAAACTCATGAGGAACAGGAATCAGTACCCCTTTCTCCTTATTCATGTGGGCACCAACAACACTGTAAAGACAACTTTTAATCAGATCATCCTAGACTATGAAGCTTCTGCCAGAAAGCTGAAAGTGTTTGAGGTACAGGTGGTATTCTCACCAATTCTGCCAGTGAAAGATAGAGGACTACACAGAGACAGGAAGAAAATAAAATGGAATAATTTGCTATGTAGATGGGAGAGGATTGGCCTTGGGGACATTGGTTTTCATTTCCTAGACAGAGGACTACTGGCTACAGATGGGCTCCACTTCACAAAGATCAGGAAGAATGCCTTTGGTAGCACATTTGATCAAGAGGGCTTTAAACAAAATCCTTTTGGGGATGGAAGTGATAGTTCAAACAACAGCCCAAAGGCAAACTTAAAAGAGAAGGATGCGAATTTAAGAGGAGAAGCTGACGGGAGAATGAGATCCACAGTAAAACTGACAGTAAACTAATAGGTGAGAACAAACAAGCCTTAAGATGTTTGCACACCAACACAGTGTTTGGGAAATAAACAAGTGCAGGAAGGTAAATATAACAGACCTGATGGGATGACTCCTATGATCAAGATATAACACTTGAAGAATCTAACCTATTCAAAAACAATAGATATGGCAGGAAAGGAGAGGGAGTAGCATTATACATCAAAGAAAAATTCATGCGTACAGAAATCCATAAAAGTGGTCAGAGTGGACCAGAGGAATACATTTTGGTAAAAATAAATGGAGAAATAAATACAAGCAAAATTGTGGTTGAAGAATCTACTACAAGACACCAAACAAAGAAGAGGTAATAGATGCTGCCTTGAGTTGCCTTTGGGCTGATATGGGCGGGATAGAAATAATGTAAATAAATAAATAAATAAATAAATCATGCTATTCATACATAAAAAATTTCAAAGATGCAAAAATTAGTAGTTCTGGGGGACTGCTGAGAGACTAGCTCTGCTAAGCAAAGGCTGTTCAATGAATTCTTTATGTGTCTTGCAGATTATTTTCTATTTCAAAAGATAGAGGAAGCAAAAAGGGAATCGGCAATCATGGGCTTGACTCTAAGCAATAGGAAGGAGATGGTTACCGGAATCAAAGCAGTTGGCACTTTAGAGGAAAGTGACTGTGTAGTGCTAGAATTCACTGTTGTGGGAACAGGGAAAGTGTGAACCTTGGATTTCAGGAAAGTCGAATTTAACAAGCACAAAAATATAGTGGATCAAATCTTACAGCTAGAGAGACTAAAGAAAAAAATACTCAACAAGTATGGAAAAAAGGACTTGTAAAAAGCACAATCACAATCACATGGAAGAAGGAAAATGGGAAGGATTTGAAAAAGCTGGGGAGGAAGTGAAAAGGCAAAAGATCAAGAATGGAAGGAAGGACACGTCATCAAAAAAGAGTACAGATGTGTAACTCAAGCTTGCAGGAATAGTATCAGGTCAAAAGGAGCTGAGTCTGGCTGGGCAAGCAGAGAACAACAGAAGAGGGCTTCCAGATACATTCAAAGCAAGAGAGTGTCCAAAGATACAGTGGGGCCGCAGCTCACTAAGGGTGGTAAAATGCTAACTGATCACAACAACAAAAAATGCTCAGTCCCCATCTTGCCTACACAGCTAGTTAATCACTAGCAGCAATAAATCACTGCCAACCAGAAGGTGGCAAGTTCAAAGCCCATCAGTTTTGAGCTCCTGACTGTTTTCAAACACCTAAGGAGTTTGAAAACAGCTGAACTGTGAGTACAGAAATTAGGGACCGCTTAAAGCAGGGAAGTTAATTTATGACACCATTAAAAATTGCAGAGATTAAAGAGCAAGGAGGAAAAACTATGATCAAAGTGGATGAAGGGACAGCTCCCCCCTGTGGCCGGAATTGAGCAACCTCCAGGAGCCGAAGTTGGGAAAAATGCTGAATTACCTCTATCTGTCGGTATGTCTTGTATGTCTAAAAACAGGATTGAATGTTTGCCATCTATTTTTGCATTGTGATCTGCCCTAAGTCCCCTTCAGGTTGAGACGGGTGGAATATAAATACTGTAAGTAAGTAAATAAATAAATAAATAAAATCAGTGTCTTCACTTCAAACTGGAAGGAAGTCTCAGGTGGAGTACCATAGGGTTTTGTTCAGGGGTCAGCTCTCTTCAATATCTTTATCAGTGAATTATGTAATGGGGAATCCTTATCAGTTTTATAGATGATAAAAAAGTAGGAGGAGTACAATTGGAAGACCTGAATTTATTATGGTCTTGATCTATTAGAAAATTGGCCTAAAACTAATAGAATTAAATTTGACAGAGACAAATGAAAGTTCTACATTTAAGTCCACAAAAACTGAAAGCACAGGTATAGGATGGGGATCAGCAGTATTACATAAGAAAGGGATCTTGGGATTATTGTAATAATAATAATAATAATAATAATAATAATAATAATAATTTATTTCTTACTCTCCTCTCCTCATGGCTCGTTGATCATAAATTGAACATCAGCCAGCAGTGTGATGGTGCAACAAAGAAGGCAAATAATATTTTATCCTGCATTAATTAATAGGACCATGATTTCCAAGATAGAAGAAGTAATAATCACACCGTATTCTGTACCAGTCAAGCCCCATCTGATAAAAGTATGGGAAACAAAACTATGGGGAAAAGTTGTGGGAGCTGGGCACATTTATACTGATGAAGAAAAGACTGGGCTGAAAAATTATACTCTTTAATTATCTCAAGAGCTGTCACAGAGAGGAGAGAGTGGTTTTCTTCGCTGCTGCCCAATAGGGTTGGGCAAAGTAATAGTTTTAAATCACAGGAAAGCAGATTTCAGCTGCAAAGCTTTTCAATGGTAATCAAGATGACCAATTGTAACATTCACATTTGCCTCAAACAGACAAGAGTTCTTTCTTCCACCCTGGACATTCCACAGATATATAATCCCCACTTGCCTTGTTTCCAACCTCTGAGGATGCCTGCCATAGATGTGGGTGAAATGTCAGGAGATAATGTTTCTGGAACATGGCCATACAGACAGGAAAACTCACAGGAACCCAATTATCAAAAGAGCTGGTTGAGTCCTTTTCACTGGATGTAAGCTGCCTTGGGTTCTGCTGTGGGATAAAGGCAGTATATAAATTAAATCATAGAGTTGGAAGAGGTCATGAGAGCCATCCAGTCCAACCCCCTACTATGCAGGAAAACACAATCAAGGCACCCCTGACAGATGGCCATCCAGTTTCTACTTAAAAATCTCCAGAGAAGGAGACCACTACACTCCCAAGCAGCATATCCCACTGCTGAACAGCTCTTACTATCAGGAAGTTCTTCCTAATTTGTAAGTACAATCTTTTTTCCCCTGCAATTTGAATCCATTGCTCTACTGTCTCCAGGGCACCAGAAAACAAACTTAACCCGCCC